TTTTTTAAATAGGGCACTACAGAATTTGACCCACTTTCCGAATCTGTTTTTATTTTTAACATAAAGTGTAACACAAAGCAGCTATTTCATATAAACTATTTAAAAGATCTTAAATTGTGCTAAACGTAACTCTCTCTCTCTCTCGGTCAGTACAGGCTGTCCTTGTTGATAGAATCTGGACTCTCGCCGACGAGTAGGTTAGAAAGAGGGAGGGTCATAAATAATGTTGAATAACATTATTAGGACTTATTCCGACTTTTTTGAGTCTTTTGACAAACCAGTGTGTTAATTGTTTTTAAAATGGGTAGTTCGCGAAGACGTTTATGTTCCGGACGAAAAAGTCAACGACGATTGAGGAAATTTTATATATATATATATATAAGCAGTAAGTACCTATAATTTAATTAAATTTTTATATGAATAGAAATATTTTCTGTTGATTTGTGACATTTTCCTTCTAAATGTTTATACTGTTTTTATAATAATACTATTGTTTCAGTATTTACGTATATAATTATAATTAATTATGTAGAAACAGAGTAGAATTTTGGTCAATTGGTCAGTAGATTTTTTTGTATTTCAATCAGAATTATTATTTTCTTTTCTTCTTTACATGAGCTCAGAGTAATACCCAAATATTTTGCAGTATTTGAATATGGAATTTGATTAATTATATTTATTGGAATATTTATTTTGAACGTTTTTGTTAGTAAAGTTTACATAATATATGAATATTGGAATATTTGATAAACTGCGTTAGACTTTCACGGCCATCGTCTAACTTGTTAAACTGTTTTTTCGGACTCTTAGGCTGTTGTCTTCTGAGCTTAGTTCTCGACGTTTCACCAACACTATGGGTTGGCATCTTCTGGAGATGTTAATGCTTCGCTTGTAAGCATAAACTGAGGTCAGTTTGCTATTGCTATGCGTCGTTCTATTTCGTTGCTTGTCGTGTTTGTTGCGTTTACTAGCGATTCAAGATAAGTGAATTCTTTGACTTGCTCAAAGTTATGGTTGTTAATTTGAATTCTCTGTTGGAAAACCAACCTATATTTGGTTTTGTCCTCATTTACCACTTCTAATTAGGACCACAACTCCTAATTCACTTGCCGCGTCCGCAAGCCTTGTAACTACACCATGTCTCTCATGGTTCTATTAAAAATAGTTACATTCATTCTAATATTTCATTTTCTGGTTGCCTTTTCCAAGGCAACATTAAAGAAGAGACACGCCAGCGCCTCCCCCTGTCTTATACCATCATTAACGTCAAAGCACATGTAGTTTTCTCCTTCAATTCTAACGCACGAACTCACGTTTTGCATTGTTAGTTGGGTCAACTTAACTAACTTCGGTGGGATCCCAACCAAAGTCTATCATTGCTTAACACTGTCATAACGTGTATCTATGTTATATTCTAGTGACTTTTCTAGAATCTGCCCATGTGCTGGAATTTGATGTATAGTTAATTTTGCAGCAGTAAATCCACATTCATATTGACCAACAATATCCTTTGTAAAGATGCTAACAGAGTAATGCCTCTATAGTTCTTACAATCCAGTTGATAGCCCTTTATGCAACGCATATTATTTCATTTAGCCACTCTTCTGTTAGCAATTCATTCTGCCATATAAGTACTATTAGTTTATGGATTACTACAAATAAGTTGATCACCACCTTTTCATACATTTCCCAACCGATTTAATCGATTCCTGTGGCTTTATTGTCTTTGAGTTTTAGGACGGCATTTGACACTTCTATTATTGTTGGGTCTTCACTGTGTAGTTGACAATGTAGATTTTGTTGATTGTCTATGTTGTAACCTCCTTCAATATCGTGTATATAATATATTATATAAATATATATAGTATGATATAATAACAATCTACCTATACTCATAATGTGATATAATCCGTATAAAACGTCTTCCGACGTCCATTTTTCATTGAATTCGGTTGCTCCATTGTTCTTTAAGTTCTTTCGAGCTAATTGAGTTTTTTATTCCTTCCATCCGTGTTTTCTACGGTAGTCCCATCTTCTAGATTCCTGTAGTTGTTCATACAGGTACTTGTTTCGGAAGTCTACTGTCTTTCATTCATTGGACATGTCCGTACCATTTAAGCTGCTTTCGTTGTATGCCATCCATGACTGTACCTTCTATTCTCATACTTTATTGCATCTATTTCGGCGAGATATCTTTCTTCGATGTCTCTGTTAATCGTCTCGTTTCACAACCGTGTAAATAAAAGCATGCTTTTTACCATAGTTTCATGGGTTCTAGTGCTAGAGAGAGCATGTCAGCTGAGCCAAAACGAAAAATAATCCTCCTTATTGCTTCCACTGGAATAAACTTGATTGTGTAACTGGGCCCGGACTACCTTCTTCTAATTCTTTAAACTCCTCTTTTGAAATTAATAATACTCATTATTTTGTCTAATTACCTATTTAGTTGTCAAGACAGATACATTGTTACCTAAAGAAGTGAAAGTGGTGCAATTTAGAAATTATATCGTAAATAATAAATATTTGAAAACTGATGCATATATAACGATTTCCGAATTGGAAATTGAAACGTCAATAAACGTATTTTTTATCTTTAATTGTGGCTTATTCCCAGTTATAAATAGTAATTAATTTACAATGCCACAAGAACATAGCTTCAGAACAATATTAAATGTTGGAGTTTTAAATACATGAGATGCTACAAAGACCTTACGTTGATCCCAAGTCATACCCCAAAAGTTCTTAAATATAATTATGACTTCTGCACTGTTCCGTAAATTTCTTGCAATATCCTAATTTGGAAATTTTACTGACATAGACACCTCTTTTAAAGATTTTGCTTTTCTTGGTATATCTTGCTTAATCTTTTCGGATTTTTTACTAAACCCAATGTATACTTTACCTTCCAGTCGAAGTTTTTTGTTTCTCTATCTTCTCCATTGGTTTTTATTCTGACTAAGCTTTCTTTTTCTCTTCATGGTAAGTTCATTATCACTTGTTGTGTTCAACAGATTTCTTTCAATGTGTTATTGTTTATACTAGTATTAGAACTTTCTTGAACATTACTGGTATTTGTAATTTCATTAGTCTCGTCTTCGTCACTAGAACATCATATGGCACAAAAGATACCACTATTTAATTTTGTTCAACTGGCAATAGTATTTGTTTATGTGTTAAATTATCTAACACGAGGTACACAGAATTATTGATGTCACAACTGCTGTTATTAAAAAAATGCATTTTTCTAGATACATAATCACTTGGTATAATACAATTATTATTATCTGCTAAACAGTCTACTTCGCTTAAGTCTTTTAAGCAATCTGTTAAGTCTTCTAGCTCTGTACAATTTTGCATTGCTGTAAGCGTAATAATAGTATGATTGTCTTCAGGCAGAGGTTCGTCTCTAAAATACCTAATAAAAAACTATAGGCGTATTTTCAATATTTAGGTTTTTCCATGCGTCGATTTCATCAGAATTTGTCAGTTGGTTTACTAGTAGAGTGTCTATTTGGTCGCTTCTATTTACAACAAAGTTTTCGTTAGTCATTGCAAGCATACGCAAAGTTCTCTTCGACATGATCACTGTGCAATTATTGAAATACACAAATTCTCCGATCAGTTAATCGCTATTTGTTGTCTACTTGCAAATTCTCCTATCTGAAAGAAATTATAAAAACTAGATTTTCGTCTATGTTTATCGTTTTAGTTTAGAATTTTATTACTTTAAATTTTATAATCGCATAATATTACCAATAATATGTACATAATATCTTGTGAAACTTACCAGAAATATCGTATTTCGTTGAAAAACAACTCAGTCACTAGCATGCAATACCCTATGATTACAGCATACAAACTGACAAGATAGGACATGTTGCATATAGTTTACCGCGTGAATTTAGATAGGAGAAATTACAAGTAGTGTTTTGATATATTTGGAAATTTTTCTCGTTCATAGCCTATTTTGGACACGTAGTAAGAGGAGACCGATATAATATTCTTCAACTTATTATGATGGGTAAAATCGAAGGAATTGGTAGAAAGCAGGCCTCTTGGTTGAAGAATATCAGGGAGTGGACAGGAATAAGGAAATCTGAGCAACTCTTTAGAATAGCTCGAGACAGAGACAGTTTCGCCATGTTAATCGCCAACGTCAAGGGGACTTGATAGGGCACGTTAAGAAGAACAAACAAAAAATGTCATGAATAAAAGTTATAGTTTGTCATTAAATGTCATAGAAAATTTCTTTGTCTCGTATGTTTTGTACAAAATTATGGAATTTGAAAGTCGTTTTTTGAGAAGTGTTTTTTTGTGATAAGAAGTATTCAATTTTAAAGTTAAATATAAGTCTCATATCATAATATATTAAGATTCATTTTTAAAATTCATTGCAACAGTGTGAACGATACGCTACTGTATGCTCCGCTAGGAAATCAATGAGCAATTTATCTCTCTTTATATTATGACAACGTTGATCTACTATCCCTTTCTACCGGTCCTAGAATACGATGTTGTTATGTATGACTTTTACAAAGAATATTATACATACATATTGATGTTATTAAATACATTTTATTAGATACCTTAACAAAAACAAAACGATTATTAATATGATAATTTTGCTGGATATCAATGATTAAATTATAAATTGCTAGAATATCTATCATCGCAAACTGGCAGCAATGTTGTTGTATTATCGCATTAACAGTTCTGAGAATTTACTGCCTACAAATTTGATTCTCAAGTATAGTTTGTTTATTCCTAGTGCATCTTCATTGTGTATTTACATACAGTTGCTGCCCAAAATCGAAGAAATATCTATCCAGTCTAGGAACTCTCTATTTGTGTTTTATTATTGGAAATACATGCACATTGATCACCTTTGAAACCCTACCGTTATTACATTATATGGATCACAGCACACAAAATATGATCCAATTCAGATCATTTATATGACACGTTGCTGTTATCAGTTTTTGGAAATAAAACAACTACATATATTAGATCTGTATTAAAATTTAACAAAATCGTCTGTAATTTTAATAGACATACAAAAAGACAATTTTTAATACAGTTTTTACATACTAATACTAGTGTGGCTACATGCTGTACAAGCATTATCCTAAAATTACAAATTTCTTTCTAACTATACAATGTTTAACAATTAACAAAATTAGTGGAATTTTTACGTAATACATTAACGATCCTTGAATTTGTTTCAACAATTATTTGAAGAATTTTAATTTGGGACTTGATTTTAAATATTGTTGAGAAACCATAATGAAAACTATACATTTTTGGACATAAACTAGTGAAAATGGTTTTATCTTGATCACACACACTTTTAACAAATTATTCATTTTATTTTTCTGGTTCATTTACTGAACATCTAAACCATAGAGCCTCTTGAAGTCTAAAACAAAGAAAAATATAAATATATCTACATAAACCTATATACTGTATAGAAAGAATTGAAGTTAGGTATGCGCTTACAACGGTAGGTAATGAGAGAAGCATATTTAAGACGATACAGCTATATGAGTAGGCCGGGCCACCAAACCAAATACTTTTATGTATGTTTCTGTAAGAGCAGCGTTGCCAGGTGATTGAAGTCAGAAAATCCTATGCCATTGTTCAAATTATTGTATTTTATACTACAGATTATCGGACTTCCTTATATTCTATTGGATGTTAATAAATTAGAGGAAATAATGTTTAATGTTTTAACAAATAAGCAAACAAATTATTTAAAATAAAAAACTTTTAAAAAATATTTATATAAAAATTGAACAAACATTTAAATCAAATAAAAACTTACCAAGTAAACTCCAACAATAAGACCGAAGAGCCCAATAGCACTTCCAAAAATCTCAATAATTAAAATTTTGACAAATAATGAGGAATTGGCTGCATCAGAAATGGCTGCTCCAGAACCAACTACCCCAACACAAAATCCACATAATAGATTTACAAATCCCACAGTTAAACCAGATCCAAAAATTACGTGTGATCCATAATGGTTTTGGGCAAAGTTTGTAGGTTTGGTGTTGAATAGATCTACATCAAAATTCTAAAACAGTTTTTACGTAAGAAATTGAATATTTTAATGACATAAATAAGTGCATCAATTTTTAATTTATTGTTCAAAACTTAAATTATTGCTTCTTATTAATTTAAACTTTGACGGTATACAAGGCAACTATCGAACACGGTGATTAATTTAATCTTGCCCAAGTACTTTCGATCAATAGATCATCTTCAGGGGCATCTGAAATAAGCCAAGAAACGTTTTTTTATAAAAAGGAAAATTAATTCACTTGGATAAAAAACTCCAAGTTTATGTTTTTTTTTCTTTTATTCTTTTTTCAGATGCCCCTGAAGATGATCTATTGATCGAAAGTACTTGGACAAGATTAAATTAATCACTGTGTTCGATAGTTGCCTTGTATACCGTCAAAGTTTAATTATTCGAACATTCAACCTTATATTGTCTTATTAATTTGGTCAATAAAAATTAGATGCATTACAGTTTGATCTTCTGTGTCAATGATGAAGGACAAAGATTTTTATTTATCATGATTTTAAGTGAACATTTAAGATAAGACAGGATTATATATGTAAATGGTTCGATATTTTATAATATTTTGTTAAATAATTATATTTGCAGCTTGATGTGAGTTAATATTCAATACTAAATGTCTACATACTACATAACTATCTTACAAAAAATGTAAGTAAAAAACATTTTAATATAAAAGTAAATAGTTTATAATTATTACTGCATTTTATAGTTATGTAGACCCAAAATAATATTAAATTTAAATGCAAAATAAAGAATCTATTTCCATCTTAACTGTAAAACATTTTTTTATTTTGGCTGTAATTAGGATAAATATATGAATTTCTTTTAATAAACAATTACCTTCCAACTTCCACAGAGTACTATTGCCATAATTAACCCATAAATAGCCACAGCTTCACAGAAGATAATAGAAATTAAATTTTTGGTTTTAATTCTAGGGGCTTTAACACCAGCTCCTACGATACTGACTCCTGTAGTGTGAATTCCTCTAAAAATCAAAATATTAATTGTTTCACTTCTCATTCTGTTACCTGGACATCTCTAACTATTATTTGTTTAAGCTCTAAATATTTGATTATTTGAAAATTTATATTAAGTTATAATAAATATAACAGACAACTTACGCAGCAGCTCCTACAACTGATAATGATACAGCAAGGCCAATTCCTAGACCTGCCCACATGTGGGGAGACACATTCAACAATAACCTATAAAAAAAATCCAAAATTGAGATATTAACAAATATAAGTATATAAATTTTACCCAAAAAGTAATTTTACTGAACAACTTAAAAAGGATCAAAGTTTACCACAGAACAGTAAAAATACACATGCCATATACTACATAAACTTGCGATAATATGATGGAGGTTTTTTTTTATATTGCCTGCTGATGATCTACAGTGTAGGAAAAATTTTATGGTCGGTATGGACCTTACGTGAGATGGAGTGAGAAACAGCTATTTAAAAAGAGAGAGGTATATTAGGTACGCCCTTTATATCGCCGAATGGAAATATTAAAAAAGGGGAAATTCAACGTTGCCAAACTTATTGGTTTTATTTGACCTGTTGTCTTTTTTTGCATTTGAACAATGTTCTATCAAGAAGATAAAATGCTCAAGATAATCAAATTTGGGCGAAATTGATTTAAATGGCAGGTTACTGATTTTTTTTATTGGGAATATGCCACAAGTTTTCTTTACAATAATTGTAATATAACATTTTGATTTCCACTTCGGAAATCGTTTTATATAAATAAAATTTATTAATGTTTCGTATTTTAAGTACGATTTCCGAACTAAAAATCTAAACATCAAAATAATTTCCCAATATGAAATAATAAACAATTAAACATGCATACAATAACGCCAAATTAAAAAATATTCATACACTAATTTATTTGGCAACGTCTAGTCTAGATAGTCGTCTGGTCAAAAGATCGTGTAACGAGAAGTAGAGGTGGGTCGTGCTATTTTATCGTTAAGAGCGTAGGTGCAAAATTTCGGGGCAATGTTTTTTAAATGCATTCATTTTTTTCGAATCCTGAGAAAACTAATAAATATTTTTGAAAAAATTAAACGCAGAATGAAACAATACATTATTACCGAGAGCTGAAAGTCCCTGAAAACTTCTATAATGTTTATTTTAATAAGTTATAGGGATGAAAAAAAAAACAAAATTTAGTGTGATTTTTAATTTCAAATATCTCATTAAAAAAACTTTTTGTTTATTCTAAGGACCTTCGGCCCTCGGTAATAATGTAATCTTTCATTCTGCATTTAAATTTTTCAAAAATATTTGTTAGCTTTCTCAGGATTCCAAACAAATTTAAATTTTTTTGAATGCTAAAAAGCATTTAAAAATTTTAATTTTCATAAACAAGTAACTATGATTGTTTAAAAGTAGTTTCAAGTAAGATAGTACCTACATAAACAAACATAACGGCTTTTATCGTTTATGTGTATAATATCTTTTGAAGTGAAAGAAACAACCTAATGATATATTTATTATAACTTGAAAAATAAACTAAACAATCATCATCATCATATAACGGGGGTCCTACGGCGATTGCCGCTTCCCGCATTTCAGCCTCCATCTTTTCCTATCTCCCCAATCTCCCTCTTCTAAGCCTCTAGATTGCATTGTTTTTGTAATTTCTCTTCTCCAGGAATTTGGTGGTCTTCCCCTTTTCCTTCTTTCTGGCGGAACATACATTAAGGCTTTCTTTGGCCACTGCTCCTCCTCCATTCTCATCACGTGACCATACCATTGTAATTGCCTTCCTTGTATTCTATCTGAAAGAGTATCTCTAATTCCTGTACGGTTTCGTATTTCCTCATTCCTGATTCTTTCCATTCTCGATACTCGACATGACCTTCTAAGATAATCCATTTCCACAACGTCTACTTTATCTCGTTCATTCTTTGTCATCGTCCAACATTCGGCACCATATGTGGTAATTGGGTCTACAATTGCTCTGTATACGCGAAGTTTGGTATGCATCTTTATTTTATTAGACCACAGTAATGAATTCAGTATTCGGATGCATTTTTCCCTTGGGTTATTCGGTTTTGTACATCTATCTTACCTCTGCCATCTGCTGATATGATGCTTCCTAGATATTTATACTGGTTGCAGCCTTTTATGACTGCGTTTTCAAGCCTCAGATCTGTGGTATTTCCTCCAATTTTTAAATATTCTGTTTTAAATATTCTGTTCTAAACTAAACAATACAAATAGTAAATCGGACTTACATTTACATTACACGTTATTATTAAATCGCGAATGGTCTAAATTGACATAAAAACTATTGTCCTGTGTTAAATATTGTCCTGTTAATGCGAAGTAACTCTCAGTTACTCCAGATGTCCAGAGGTCAGTAGTAATACAGATATTTTCTACTTCTTTAACAACTTGCGATCTAATAATTTGCTCACTTTTGACATAACATTCCTGAAGTAATGAACCTGACAAAGTTTTTCTTGTTGGCGGTTTATATCCAGGAATCCACCCTGCAAACTTTTTAAAAGCTGGTTCTTTAACTATGGAAAACGGATGAAACGAAAAGTTTAGTAAATCTTGAAAATCAATCAGTCCAAGAAAAAGAACCTGATAAAGATGACTTAAGTCCATGGTGTATTTTTGATGAATTAATTGGACATGACTCATCTAAACATACACCTGTATCGAGAGGTACAAAAGAAGTCGACATGTAATTGTCTGATGATATATTACCCACAAACAATTTCGAACGGAGATTGGAACTGTCCATTACCGTGGTGAAAAAACCATCGCCATGTATATCGTAACTTAACCACTATATTCATAAAATGTTGTAGTATTGTAACAAAATCTTTTCCTTGTGAACACATGTTTAACATCTGGTATAATTTTAAATAAAAGAAGAACGCGATTAACAAGAAAAGTGGAAAAACTTATGTTTTTAAATGTCAATTTAGACGATTCGCGATTTAATAATGTGTAATGTAAATGTAACTATTTAAGTACCATTTGTATTATTTAATTTATTTTCAAGTTACAATAAATATATCCTTCGTTAGGTTCTTTTATTTCAATACTTATACACATAAACGATAATAGCTAATATGTTTGTGTACTCGCTAATTTGAATACTGGTAAACAATCAACTAGTTACAGTTTACGAAAAACGGTTCCGATAAAAATTAAAAAAACGAGAAGACCCACCTCTAGTTTTTTAGGTATATTAGGATCGGAACCAGAGAATATCTGATCGGAACTAATCGTCTCACTAATGGGCAATGGCCAATGAGTGTTAAAAGGATTTTAGGAGGGGAGACGAAGGGGAAATATGATTGTTATCTTTGTCTAATTCGTTGAAAATATGATTTTATATCTGCGTTAGATATCCTGTTAAATTTTACCATACCGACCTTAAAATTTTACCTACACTGTATATGAACTGCATACATAAGGGATCCATCCAGTTATTTAATCAGTACCTTCCTAATGGTTAGGATAAACTTGAACTAGTAAAGGTTACCATTTTGTTTATAATTTACCAAGTACTTTTAATAACATATGTAACACTAGCAATTTCATCCAAGAAATTAAATCCCAACACCTAAGATAGGCCATGTCCACGGGCTCCCTAATAACCTTCTTGCCAAGTTAATCAGGGAGGAGGCACCGATAGGGTGAAGACCCTTAAAATGCACATGAATATAGTGGATGGATAACATATCATCAGATTTAAGAACAATAGAGCTACTCACTGACCCAACTATCAGGGATGACTGTGTGAAATAAAAACAAGTTGTGTAATCAGCCAAGATTCACTTCAGGTTGTAGATTCTATAAGAAGCATTGTTAATGAGTGTAAAAAGCATGTTGGCATATTGTGCAGAGATAGAAAACAAAATATGCACTACAAATTGACAACAATGAACAAAGAGTACATTAAAGCCTTCTTTTTCTTCCTGAGCTTTTTCTTTTCAGTGGTAGCTGTTCCTTTCTCTTCTTCACCACTCATTTCTGTTCGTTGTGTCTTCTTCACCTAAACCTTTCTAAAATACCCTGCAGCAAAGTCATTCGATCTTCTCCGAACACTTATTACCGAACATTTTCATGTCCGTGGCCTCCATCTTTTATACACGTCACACTTCACACCAACACAGGCCTCACCACACTCTTGTATATCTTTATATCTATCTATATATCTAGCCTAGACTACATTAATCAAGTTGCAGGTAAATACACATTACATGAAAAAACAAATGATAATGGTCAAAGATTATGCAACTTAGCAACTAGCACCAATATGATTGTCAGTAAACATCAATAACAGATGTGAGAACATACAGAGGTGCACATGCAGACAAAGACCATTTCATGGTTACCGCTTTGTTAAGACAAAAGGTCAAAAGAACGCTAAAAAACAAGACAACAAAGGACAAATGGTACATAGAAAAACTGAATGCTACAGATAGAAGAATTAAATATGCAGAAGATATAAGCAAAAAACTGAATAAATGAAACAGCTTCTGAATATGTAGGGATAGAGAGATAGAACAAAAAAGAAGAATGGTATAATCAAGACTGTCATAACATGTTAAAAAAGAAGATAGAAATAAGACAAAAGTGGATCAGAACAAGTAGACAAGAATATAAAGAAGAATACAACAAATTAAGGACAGAATGGAAGAAACAAATAAGGAAAATTAAACGAACCTGGTTAAATGATAAGATAAATGAAATAGAAAAAGAAAACACAAACAGAAACACAAAAGCATTTCATAAGAAAATTAGCGAGCAGAACAAAACCTTTAAAGTAAAGATAAAAGGCATGAAGGATAGAAATGAAAAAGTATCAGAAAATGACAAAGAGTTTAAAGAAATCTGAACTGATTATTTTAAAGAATTATTAACAATACAAGACTTAAATGAAAACATGAAAGACGAGACCACGATGATAGAAACCTAGCTAGAAAAACCAACTAAAGATGAAGTTGAGGAAATTATAAACAGTAGTCGCAACGGTAAAGCACCAGGTATAGACGGTATAAACATGGAACTTATAAAATATGGTGGACATGAACTCAGAGAAAAAATATACCAATTTATAAAAGTCATATGGGACGTAGAAAAGATGCCAGAAGAATGGTACAAAGGACAAATAATTATCACAGTCCGTAAAAAAGGAGACCAACAAATGTGTAATAATTATAGAGGACTGGCATTATTAAACACAGTGTATAAAATCATGTCAACCTTAATACAACGAAGACTGGCAGAAGTGACAGCATGGTAAAGCAAATTATGGAGAAAGCTTATGGATATAAAATAGAAATTGAACTGCTTTTTATAGACTTCCAACAAGCATTTGATTCAATAAACAGAGCGAAATTACTTACAGCTACGAGAGAAATGAGAATACACAACAAATTAAGACAATTAATACATGACAATGAGCAAAACTGTAGGTAACTGTAAAAATACAAGAAGGAGGCACAGAAGAATTTGTTATAAATAAAGGTATACATCAAGGAGATTTATTATCTGCAACTCTGTTTAATCTTACCCTGGAATATATAGTCAGAAAAATCAACAGGTACACCTAGAATGAGAGAGGGACAAATAATAGCATATGTATACCAACAATATTGTGTTAATAATAAAGAACCGAAAAATAATGGAAAGTATGTTAAAAGAATTGCCAGCAGAAGATAAAGTAATGGGCTTAGTAATAAATCAAGAAAAAACAAAAATAATGAGATTTGACAAAAAATATGAAAAAAAGATTAGACTGGGAGAATATAATATTTGAAGAAGTAGAAAAGTTTAAGTATTTGGGAATATTATTAACAAACAATGGAGAAGGGGAAACAGAAATTAAAGAAAGGATAATTACAGCAAATAAGACAGACTATGCAAATAAAAAACTTCTAAAAAAATAAATTACTGAGCAAGAATTGAAAATGAAGATATATAAAACAATAATTTAACTGAAACCCTTAGCATGACAAAAAAACAAGAGGAAGACCTTAGAATACTAGAAATGAAAATACTAAGCAATATTAGGACCAATAAAAATTAATGAAAACCAATATAGACAAAGAACAAATCATGAACTACTAAATGAAATTAAATAAAACAGCAAACAGCAAAATGGCTAGGAAATATATGGAGATCAGGACCATCTACGACAATATTTTCAATATTGGAAGGAACAACAGCTGGTTAAAGAAGATGTGGAAGACCAAGATCTACATGGCTCAAGAAGTAACAAATGATCTCAACAGATCATTTGTGTGGTGATCATTTGTGATCATGGTGTACGGCAATGGAGAGAAAAAACCAGAGATAGGAAACAGTGGAGAAAAATAACAGGAAAAATTAAATAAAGAAAATGAGGACTGATCATCCTAGTTTTTCTTTGATTCAATGTCCCCAACCACATATATCCAGCTTCAACCTGGCCTCCCTATGTCCTCCCTTTTCAATAGTCCTTCTCGAACCCTACAACTTCTCAAACATTTCCTTGCTCTCGTTTACTAGTTCTTTAAACAAAGAGTACTTTAAAGTAATAGTATGAAAATAGAAAGATAATCTAGCAAATTGTATTCATCTTTTGGTCCTTCCTTTTATTAAAGGATTAGTTATCATGTGACAAACTGTTATAATCCAAACTTTAATTGTTAATATGGTCCTTTTAGTTTATTATATTAAAATTTATTGTTTTTAACATAATACTTGTTGCATGGAAACGTTTTTTTTTACAGATTGAAACTGTTTTGTTCTATATATAACTGACGTTTGGAAAAGTTTGTGTTGGACCTTGGTTATATCAATTTCCCAATATATTAAATATTTTATTATAAGACTTTTTAAAAACTTACCATGCTAAACTAACTTGCTCTCCTTTTCCCGTGAGGCAGTAGTAGAGTGCTGAATAATAAAAATAATATTAAGTCACATGATTATTCCACACACCTACTTTTAAAACTTTCAAAACAAACTCACCAAAAATCAATGTTGCAGAAGAAGCAAGGGTAGCTCCGATGTAACTTAAAGTGTACCGCATTTTTGAAAATAAAGATGTTAAATAAGTTCACAAAACTAAAGTTTAATTTTTGGAATATTATGCTAGTGACACATGGTACTGTAGATAAAAGTGAACTAACAATCAACCATATGATTAGTACAAACCCAGACAGCGGTGTTGCCAAGTTTACTATTTAAAAACAAAAATAGTCCAATCGTCTCTCAAAAATATACTAGTAGATAGGCATTACACATTTCAGTACGAACAAATTCTAAAAGTTAAATTTTTAAATTAAAATAAAGATTCCCCTAACATGGGAAGTTGTACTATTTGGAATATGTACCTATGTGAATGAAAATCAACTAACAAAATGGTATAGGGGAGAGGTAGGTACAGTGAGACGGTCGGAACACTGAGACAAACGCGGTAGAGCTTACCACGTTCGGTATTATAAGGTAGAACTAAACGAACATGCCTATTACCACCTTAAAGTGAAGCAAACAAGAAACCGTTGAGATTAAACGAGAAACGAGAAATGTTTTAGTTATAGCTGGTCATTTGAAGTGAGTGCATCGTAGTAAATATACCGTATCCACGTGGCCGCTGTTTTCACGAAAATTGAAGTTTCTTAGACAAGGTAGGTTATTCTAACTACAAAGTAAACCATTTTACGAAACAATTAAATTAAAACAAACGATTTTTGTACATATTTTATTAGTTTTTTTCATATATTTTTATTAAGGATTTTTTAAGGAACAATGAGACAACACAGCAGATGGAACAGTGAGACGCGTCTCACTGTTCCTTTACTGTCTCACTGTTCCGTTATAGTTGTATAAGCCAGGTCATTTGCAAAATAATTTCTCTTACAGAACGAAGATGCCAAGAAAAAATAAAACAGATCGGAAAATAGGAAGATTATCTGAAGATCTGATGAGACAGGCTGTTGAATTAGTACAAGGTGGCACTTCTATACGGCAAGCAGCACGAATAAAAGGAGTATCTTTCCAAACAGTCCACAGATATGTTAAAAAATATCAACAAGATGAGAACGTCCGTTTATGTCCTAATTACAAAGTAAAACAAATTTTTACTTTCGAACAGGAGAACGACTTGTGCGAATATATAATTAAATGTTCTAAAATGTTTTATGGCCTATCAAGAGAAGATACCCGAAAACTGTCACATGAAGCCGCAGTCTACAATAACATAGTGGTTCCAGCAAACTGGCATACTTCAAAAATCGCTTCACTTGCCTGGATGAAAGGATTTCAGAAACGTCATTCCAATAATTTATCCCTCCGGACCCCAGAAGATTGTAGTCTTGCAAGGGCAACCGGTTTCAATAAATTTAATGTTGAAATGTTTTTCAGTAAACTTGAAATCGTTTTACAGCGTTTCCCTGTGTTTGGAGATAGTAGTCGCATCTTTAATTTAGATGAGACAGGAACCGTTACCGTTCAAAAGTCCCAAAAAGTGTTTGCAGAAAGAGGTATACGACAGGTTAGTAAAGCCACAAGTGGCGAACGTGGAACACTCGTTACAACATACTGTATTGTTGGAGCATCTGGAGTAGCTATTCCTCCTGCTCTGGTATTCCCAAGAGTACACTTTAAAGGTTTTATGATAAATGGGTCGCCTCCTGGAACTTTAGGACTAGCTTCAAAAACAGGTTGGATGAATACAGAGTGCTTTGTGGAAGTTGTTAGGCATTTTATTAAGCACACTGGTAGTACTAGAGAAAACCCTTCTTTATTGCTAATAGATAATCATCAAAGTCATTTATCGATTGAGGCAATCGATTTATGTAAAAATAATGGCGTTACAATCCTGACTATACCGCCACACTGCACGAACAGATTACAGCCGTTGGACGTAGGTTTATTTAAGCCATTTCAGACCTTCTACAATGATGCCAGTTAACATCGCAAGCGCTTTTCGAAAATCTGGAATATTTCCATTCGATCGGCATGTCTTCGCTGAAGAAGATTTTTTGTCAAGTTTTGTGACAGATAGGCCGCTTGTTGCAGTTGAAGCTGCTGCTGAAAAGATAAGTGAATCTCCAGATGTAGAAAATCCAGGTCCAAGTCATACTGCTACTACTACTAAAACCTTTGTTAGTTCAACAGTTTTTAAGGGTTATCCTAAAGCTCCGACAAGAAAATCTGTAGAGGGCAACAAAAGACGCAAAGGAAGGACGATGATAGCTACGGATACCCCGGAAAAAATGGAGCTGATTAAATCTAAAGAAAAAACACCAAAACAGAAAAAAGTAGCACGGCGCGTATTAGATAGTGATTCTGACGAGCAAGACGAAAATGAGATGGAACTACAAGATTTCAGCGGAGGGGAGGATTTTATTGGTGAAGATCCAGAACCAATTATTTTCGAAGATCTTGATCGCTGTCCAAATGATGGGAATTATGTGCTCGTTTTCGTAAAGAAAATGATTTTAAAATATCGTTTTTGCGAAAAAGCGCTAAATGTGAAAATAGGTTCTTCTTTCCAGTTGTCCCAGATGTCTCACATGTATTAAAAAGAGACATTAAAATGATTTTGCCACCCCCTTTAATGCAAGTGTTAACCAAGCGCCAAAGTTCGCTTTTAAAATTTGAATTAAACTTTGATAGTCTTAACGTCAAATAATGGTAATTGTTACGTCTCAGTGTTCCCACATTGAAAGGAACAGTGAGACATTTACTAATTTTTAATTTTTATATTTTTGAGGTTTTAACATTAATTTTTATGAGAAAACGACATGATTTTTCAGTTCTTATTTATACATCAAATATCATTGTACAATATAAGTTTAAAGTAGCATTTAATAAAAAAGTTATTGGCATTGAAATTTTTTCGTCTCAGTGTTCCTACCACTCCCCTACTTATCAACAAACAGAATACAAATCTAAAGTTTTAAAACAACTGAAATTACTCAAAAAAGAGGATGCTGCTCAAATGGATGAAAGCCAATTATTGGAAAGGGAATTGAGATCCACAAACAAAGACACGAATCAAGAGTCACAAAAATCGAGTAAATTACTTGAGACTTTAAACGAGGAACCCTTGCAATTGAACGATTGAAGATGAACAAGGGTAGATCCTAACAGAGAAGAAAAAGATCCTCAACAGATAGAAAGAATACTGCCAGTTTATTTTCATCGACCAGTCAGAATGTCACCCGCATATATTTACAATAGCAGAGAATCAAGAACCCGAAATCCTACGCATTGAAGTTGAAAACTAAAACCTAAATAATCAACATTAATAGGAGAGTTTATAGGTGAAATGATAGTAGCGGACACATTTATGACATGAAATATGTTTACCATTTATTAGAGAAAGAATAATGATTCTCTCAAAAAGCTGGTAGTAGAAGAAAGTATTGAAGGAAAAAAGCCCAGAGGAGAATCACCCTCAAAATGTCTAAAATATTATAATTAAGTACATTCTTTGTTGTATTTTATTTGTGATATTTTGTGGAATTTTAACTATTACATGGGTTCATAAAGAGAAGGATCAGAATGGGAAAGACCCGAAGAAGTCTGTCTTAAAAGTAGCTTCAGCTAATTTAAGACCCAAAGTTGTCATCATCTTTCCAAAGTGGGCTATGGAGAAAAGAGTACAGTCCTATACACAAGATATAAACGAATAATAATATAATAATAATAATATATGGAGTTCAAAACTTCTGGCTTAATTCTGGAGTGCTCATGAGTGCCTGTCAACATTAATTAATCGTGTTATTTCTTATCCGCAGGAAATACCATCATTCCTAACTCAGGAAACAACTTATTTAATACCGAAGGATCAAAATAATACCCAAGATCTCAGTCATTTCTAACCAGGTATACACCAAAAAAAGGAACCTCTTCACTGCCTTTATTGACTATAAGAAAGCCTTTGACTCAGTGCCGCATGAATGGCTTGTAGATATATTAAGAATATATAAAGTCGATGATAATATAGTGACCTTCTTAAGACATATAATGACAGATTGGAAGACTAAAATTCACCTCCAAATACCTGGTGAAAACAATATCGAAACGGAAAATATCGCAATTAACCGCGGCCTATTCCAAGGAGACTCGCTGAGTCCCTTGTGGTTCTGTCTAGCGATGAACCCACTATCCCAGCTATTGAACTCCACTGACTCAGGTTTTAGCATTAAAAACAACAGCACTGTAGTGGCGAAGCTTAATCATCTGTTGTATATGGATGATTTGAAACTAATGGCTTCCACTCGAAATCAATTAGATCAAATGCTAAAAACTGTAGAATCTTTTTCAAATGATATCAGTATACACTTTGGGTTAGACAAATGTCGTGTACTAAATATAGTCAAGGGAAAGGTTAAGCCCGGGGATTCGATATGCAAAATGGCCAAAACATCGAGGCTATGGGCGAAAATGATATGTATAAATATCTAGAGTAAAGCAAGCGCGGAAAATTGACCATAAACAAATGAAAATCGAATTAACATCAGAGTTCATATGAAGAGTAAAACAGCTACTCCGCTCACATCTTAATAGTAAAAATTTGTTTAAGGCATTAAACACCTACGCATTTTCCGCGCTTAGCTACTCATTTGGGATTATTAAGTGGACTAAAACGGATATAGAAACTCTTCAGAGAAAAGTACGAACACACCTCACAAAGGCACAAAAACACCATCCTCGAAGTGCAGTAGAAAGAACGACATTACCGCGGTATTTAGGAGGACGAGGACTTATAGATATAAGCGAGCAATTAGATAAACAGATTACTAATTTAAGAACTTATTTTCAGGTGCAGGCGGAGACATCTACTCTTCATCGCGCGATTTGCGCAGTAGATGACACAACACCGATCAAACTGAGGGAACAAGAAATGCGCATAAAACATCTTACTAAGAACGAAAAAATGCGCATCTGGATGGGTAAACCTTTGCACGGGCGACATCCGAATGCAGTCAGTCAAGACTATGTCGACAATATAGCGTCGAACTATTGGCTGACATCAGGAAAGATGTTCCCTGAAACAGAAGGTTCATTACTCGCCATTCAGGATCAGGTTATACCAACCAAAAATTACCTGAAATATATCGTCAAAGACCCTCAGGTCCAAAACGACAAATGCCGATATGGATGCCAAGCCCAAGAAACTATACAACATCTTACCGGAGGCTGCCAGGCATTTGCTGCAACTGAATATAAGGAACGGCATGACTCAGTAGGGAAAATCCTCCATCAAGAGATAGGTTTTAAAACTGGGACTTCTACAAACAAACCATCTCCCATATTATCAATACGTTCCTGAGAGTATGCTGGAGAATGACAACTACAAGCTATACTGGGATCGCACTGTGCTCACAGACCAAACTGTAGCACATAATAGACCAGATCTCGTGCTAGTTAATAAACTAATAAGACAAACAACTCTAATCGATGTGGCGATACCTAACAACAATAATCTGGGTGTTAAGTACAACGAAAACATCGCCAAGTACAGAGATCTGGAAATACAAATAAGAAGACAATGGAGAATGGAAAGTACCCAGACGATACCTATTATTCTTTCTACCACTGGAGTCATTCCGAAGAACCTCCTAGAAAACATAAAAAAGCTGGGTCTAAATGAACATCTATATAAGGTCATGCAGAAAGCTGTGCTACTTTCGACGTCCAGATGCGTGCGAAAATTTTTAGGAGAAACACCGACGTACCAAGTCACCTAGGACTCAATAACATGGAAAGAGTCCCACCAGAGCTCAATCCTTTTGATACCGTAGGTATCTGGGATGAGTGAATTTTCCCCTCAGAGGGAGTGTGAGCCGTATGGCTAAATCTGGAATAATAATATATGGACCTATATAACTCGTACTGAGAAAACATACCAGGTCAAATACATGGCAAAATGTATATTGGATGGATATGCGCTAATAGGCCGAAGTACTGTGGAAAAGACGTCAACGGACACCTGCATACAATGGGACTGTTTCATGATGACTTGTGCTGCAGACCCTGCAGCAGAGAACCTGAAACAGCCAACCATATCTTGCATATTTGCGAAGCATTAGATTGCAGGCGGCAAACACTTTTTGATAAAACCAAGTAACTCCAAAAGTATGTGGTACCTATCCACTAAACCTGTATAAGCTGGTATATATTCCAGAATACTTGAATAAGCATCATGAAGGAGTGGAAGATGTACAATATGTTTATACATCTTGTTTATGTCTGTTTATATCAGACGGGTTTCATAAAAAATAAAAACTCTTTGAGAACTGCAGGGAACCAACATTGCTAGACCATTTGAATGATTATCTCTATAAGTCCTACAGCTTATTTGTTTTTTTGTTTTTTTTTTTGTTTATTTTTAACAATAGAGAGAATGTTTTTATGAATTTGTTTAGGTACTGTCATACTTTTTCTTCTCAGCCAAAGAGAAAAATAAAAATTAATAAATAGACCATTTAAATAAATTTTCAAGACGTCCTGGTAAACAAAATTTATGTACAGTCCTCTCTCTCTATAACGATATGCAAGGGATCGGGAATTTTCATCGTTATAAGGAGAGATCGTTATACAGAAAGAGAGAGAGAGAGAGAGAGAGACAAAATTCGGTACTTTAATATTAATAATACTGTCCTAAATAACCTATTTTAATTTAAAAAAATTATCAAAACGAATATAAATGAATTACCACTCTATTGTACACCACATAGGTTTATTATAAAGAATAATATAAGCAATACAGTATAAAAAATGACTGTACAATTAAAACATAATATGTACTGTACAATAACAAAATAATATGCTACTGTAAAATATATTTAGCCTACATTACCAAAAAAGTCTGTCATCTTGGCCTGTTTCCCTTCCCCGTATTCATTTACGCTAATTGATAAGATAACGGCAAAATTTGATAATTGTTTTATTCTTCTTTAAATAAAATAAATAATACCAATTTTTTGTAACATACTATTTTATTATTATCCTTTTTTTTCCCTATCCCGATAAAGGACAACTAGGACATCTTTGGACCCACATAACATAGGTTAATATAAGGAGATTTTTAACCCCGAGAACAATTAAGTTATGTTTTTTGATTTGCTCAATTAATCAAGTACAAAAAGTAATAACATAACAGTACATATGCCTACTAAAATTTTCTGAATTTATTTGCGTGGCATCTTCTTAAAAAATGATAGTTCCTCAAAAAATTGCTTCTCTAATTTTGTGGAGCACTGTAGTTGAAAATATCCCATTTTTGTCCCGAATAATCTCTTATATCTTTTGGTAATAGGTGCTGCAACATCAAATTGATATTTTACTCCCACATCGTACTTTGATAAAAATTGAAACAGGAAGATTTTATCCGTAATCATTTAAATATTTTATAATTTGAATTGTCTCTCATATCATTTCCGCCACCATGAAAGCAGTAGCAGTATTTTTATTAGTAAAATTGTTAAATTTATGCCACGGAATCGCTATAAATCCAGGTAAGATATATTTTAATACTAAATATACAACATTAAATTTAATGAAAAACAAAAATAACGCTGTCAAATATCCAACTTTATCCAAGGAACTTTATACCATCTTTCCGCCTCACTTTGTGGCATTGTTGTAAGAATCTCAGGACTTAAGTCACCGATCCCATCCTTTTTTACTCGTAGTCTCCCTCTTCTTCTTTTAGGACCTACGTCCGTGGTACTTAACAGTTTCCTTGGCTTCTGTCAGCCTTTATTCCAGCAATAATACCCAGGTATCTTAGTATATGTTTATTAGCGGCTGTCTTTATTGGCGGTTGTCCATACATCTTCATAGCTTCATTATTTCTTCTCTTTCGTTACTTATCTCCTTCCATATTTTTACAAAATATGGATTAAGTCTTCATTTGACATCTTCATTGAAAATACACGTCTCTCTTGCATAGATAATTCTCAGTCAGTTAACTGTAGCATATATTCTTATCTGTCTATTTTTTTTGGACTTTAATAATCTAAATATGTCTCCGATACTCTTGCTATCTTTAGCTAGTCGTTTCATTATTTCTCGGATTTCGTCATTTTTGTTTGTTTCCGGTATTACTCCAACATAGCTAAGTGATTAAAAAGCTCCCTTTTTTGTTATATATTGAACTAGTTTTATAAATTTAATTTATCAACTTTATTTATTATAAAATGTTCTAAACTTTACACACTTTATTAGTTTATTTACATACATGTATTTATTTACTCTACATAGAAACACACACACACATATTATTTTATTTATACTTATATAATTTATTTATAATCCGACAAGCGAGAGCTGGCGGGTGAGATGGTTCCTCCTGGAACCTTGTCGGGACTGGAACTGGAACGGTATGCTGGTATCGGCAACTGGACCCTCTTTTACAACTTCCAGTTTTATAAAAATGACAAGGGACGGTTTTTTCTCCGCACCAATAACTATGCGGATTGCTACAGACTAACACCTGGACTTCGGTGTCTCTAAAGATCTCCTTCACCATACTTCGAATAACCCTCCAATCTAATTGGCGGCACTCTAACTTTGGCATGGCTAACTTTTGCACGTCGGACTCTAGTACGTGCTCTCTCAACTGAAGTAAGGCTTTCCATACATATCGGTAGGTAGGTTGGTCACGGGCAGGGTCTTTTGTTACCAGGTAGAAAAGGTAACGTGATGCATCTTGGAGTTTCAAGGCTTTCCCGGGAGCTGGCACTTGGCATTGAAGATCTGGAACTCGACCGAACTTCCTTCGAAAGACGGATACCAACCCTGGTGCGTCTTTGATACTGGCCGGGATGGTAAGGACCAGTGAGTAGTCATCGGAAAGCGCGAGTAGATCTTTTTCCTTCAGTGGTAACACCATGCCTTGCTTTACTATTTATTTCTCCATCTACATATACATGATCTTTACGACATTTTAAAGAAGCTATTAGTATGAGAGAATCTTTCGAAAAGTCCCCTCGAAAAGTTTCTGGTTGAAGCTGTCCCCCTAAGGCCGACTCGTTCTCGTTTTCCTGATGGTGAGTTTCTTGATTTGCGTCGTACCTAGGGTGCTTACATGAACTTCGTACGTGTCCTATTTCGCCACAATTCCAGCATCTTATGATCTTCTTTTTCTTGTATGTAATACTTTTCCTTTTCATCATATTAACGAGCTGGTCAAGTTTATCTTCATCTCCTTCCTCTTTTACAGTCCTAACTTTACTGTACCCTCCAGAGGCCTGCGTAACTGACTCGTATTCGAGGACGGCGGATAAGACATCAACCAGCGTCTTGTGACGAGCTAATAGCTGTGTTCTCTGCATTTCAGGATCACGAAGACCATCAATAAACGTTTGAACGGCCAACTTTTCCATCATGTCTTCAGGATTTGTTGGATAAGCATATCGTACTAATCTGGCAATATCTACCTTATATTCTTGAAGAGCCTCATCTCTCTTTTGTCTTCGATTTTTAAGCTGCGACTGATATACATGCTGCAAATGTTCGTGGCCATATCGCATATTTAACCTCTTCTTAAGTTGTTCGAAATCATCCGTCTCCTCTACGGCTATGGTCTGAAGCACATCTAAGGCATCTCCTCGAAGAGCGATAGTCAGGTTTACAGCTTTTTGTTTTTCAGACCATTCATTCGCTCTTGCAGCTGATTCGAACTGTTTCATGTATCTGTTCCATGACGTTTTTTCCGTCGAAAGTTGGGACTTTAACATGAACAGAACCTCCACTTTCTTCAAATTTCGGTCATGTGTCCAACTTACATTTCGTCTCGTCTTCTTTTGTCTCTACTGTAATTGGATTGTTTCCTCTCTCTGCTGATCCTGTTTTCTCCATCTTCCTTTCCATCTCTTTCTTCGAAGGCCAACATATCGGCAGCAACTTGGTTTTTTAACGAAGACGTTCTATCGTCGAGGGCAGACATCTCAGAAGTGACTTTAGAGATTTCCAAAGAGATGTTGGCAGAAACTTTGCTTTCCAGAGAAGAAATTTCGTTAGAAGCTTTGTCTTCTAAAGAGCGATGTCGCCGGAAACTTTTAATTTTTAATGAGTTTTACTTTCGTTTTTTTAAACATATCTTACTTTTGTAGGTTAGAAAAAAACATAGTGAATGATTTCGATTTTATTGTCTCCATTATCTCGACCAAACAACGATTCTTATTTTACTTTTATACACCATTAAACTCTTCGTATTTGTTTTATCATTTCAATAATATGTTCTTTACAGAGATCAAAACTGATGTGTCAAGATCAATATACGATGAGAAGGTACATGCAGCATTTTTAAATAGAGATCACATAAGAAGAAAACGATATCTAGGTTTAAGCAAGAAGTTTAAGGTAAGCTACAAATATTGACATGGAATTGACATTATTCAAAAGATAATCTCTTGGCTCTTCTTCTTCTTTGGGTGCCGTGTCCGTATTCAGACGTTGGCCGTCATCATGTTTACAATTTCCTGAAACCTTTCTCTGTCGGCTGCTACGCGAAATAATTCTTCTACTGTGAAACCACACCATTGTCTAATATTCCGCAGCCATGAAAGTTTCTTTCGACCAATCCATCTCTTTCCTTCCACTTTTCCTTGTATTATAAGGCGAAGTAAATGGTATTTGGGTCCTCTAATTATATGGCCGAAGTATTCTGTTTGTCTCCTCTTTATGGTGTTTATGAGCAGACGTTCTGAGTTGATCATTTGAAGGACATCTTCATTGGAAGTGTGCGAAACCCACGATATCTTTAGGATTCGTCTATAGCACCACATTTCGAATGCTTCTAACTTGTTTAGCATTGTGGTTTTTAACGTCCATGTCTCACAACCATACAATAGGATCGACCACACATAACATTTCAGGACCTTCTTACGAATGTTCATTGACAGGTTTCTGTTGCATAAAACTGGTTTCCAGGTCATAAAAGACTTACGTGATATTTCGATCCTGGATATTATCTCTTCATCAGAGTCACAATTTACATTTAACCAGCTGCCAAGGTATTTGAAATGATTTACCCTTTCTATCTCTTCTCCATTAAGAGAAAGCAGACCTTGATCTATATGGATCTTTCCAACTGCCATCCACTTTGTCTTTGAAATGTTGATTTTTAGGCCTCTCCGATAACTTGCTTCACTGACTAGATTTAGTAATGTTTGGAGATCTTGTAAACTTTCTGCAAGAATGGCTGTATCGTCAGCGTATCTAATATTGTTGATTACTTCTCCACCTAGTCTTGCTCCCTCTTGTCTGTCATCCAAAGCCTCCCTAAAGATTTCTTCAGAGTACAGATTAAAAAGAGTGGGTGACAAAACACAACCCTGCCGTACTCCACGTTTGATGGGTATTTTTTCAGTGGGACTGTCTCCAATTTGAATAGAGGCTACTTAATTGTAATATAAGTATTTCAGCAGTCTTATATCATAGTGGTCAAGTCCTGCTGCCCGTAGGCAGTCGAAAAGTGTATTGTGTTGGCTGTCGAACGCCTTCTCGAAGTCGATGAAACAAACATAAACATTCTTTCGGAATTCACAACTTTTTTGTAATAGAACGCGCATACAGAATAGTGCCTCTCTAGTTCCTAGACCGTTTCTAAATCCAAATTGCTTATCACCCATCTTACTTTCGCATAGAAGGAATACTCGGTTTTGTATAATTCGTAAGAGTATCTTCAGTGTGTGACTCATCAAACTGATTAGTCTAAAATCGCTGCATTTGGTGGGCCTGCTTTTCTTTGGTAATGTTATAAATAGTGACTCTAACCAATCATCTGGTATTTTTCCTTCGTTGTAAATTTTGTTGAAGAAAGTGGTTAAGCAGGCAATGCTTTCCTCATCCAAAAGTTTAAGTAGTTCGGCAGGGATTTGATCTGGTCCAGGTGCTTTATTGTTTTTGGCTTGCTGTATTGCCTTCTCGACTTCCGAATTCAGTATATTGGGACCTCTGTCCAACTAGTTGTCATAGGCAGTATTTGTAGCATTTTCCCTAGAAGCATCGTCAAAAAGGTCAGTGATGTATCTCTCCCATTCTTTGCACTGTTGTTCGTGATCACAAATTTTTCCGTCCGCGCTTTCAAGTATGTGAGCATTTTTCTGTTTTCTAATTCCGGCAGTATATTTAAGTTTCTTATGCAGGTTGAAGCTGTCATGCTTTTTTTGGAGGTCTTCTATTTCTTTACATAAATTCTTAAGCCAGGATTCTTTGGCTTGCTTAATTTTTCTTTTTATGCGTTTATTAATTTCACGATATTCGATAATATTTCTATTTTTGTGTTGCCGTCGAACTTCCATCAAATCTAGAATTTCTTGTGTCATCCACTCATTTTTTGCCAACATGGTAGGTGTTTTTAAAGACTCTTGTACGTTCTCTAAAATCGAGTTTTGAATGGCATACCAGCATTCGTTAATGGTTCTGTTTTCGTTTGGTATATTTGATATTCTGTGTATTTTACTATTTATTTGCTGTGTTATGTGTTCGCGCGTTTGAGGGTTTTTCAGGGGATCGAGATATATCTTACAAGGCTTAGTTGGCTTTGTTAATTTCTTCAATTTAATTTGTATTTTGGAGCAGAGTAAATTGTGATTTGAGTTTATGTCAGCGCCGGGATAAGTTTTTACATCTTTAATATTGTTTCGAAATCGGTGGTTTATTAGGATGTAGTCTATTTGATTCCGGCATCTCTTGCATTTGAATCTCTTGGCATTATAATTTAAATATGATTTCTGGCATATGACCGCTACGGTGTTAAATTTTGGATGTCAATTCACGGGTCTGAAACGTGAAGAAACTATGCGGTTACCAAACGTTTCTTTTAATAAATCAATTGTGACACGAGCTGTGTGACATGTTGCACCGTCTTGTTGATACCACAGCTCCTGCACGTCATGGTTGTTCAAATGAGTAATAAAAAAGTCAGTAATCATAGCTCTATAGCGGTCACCATTGACTGTAACGTTCTGGCCAGCATCGTTTTTGAAGAAGTACGGACCAATGATTCCACCGGTCCACAAAGCTCACCAGTCAGTTTTTCTGGATTTATTGGTGTCTCAACATACACTTGAGGATTATCTTCAGTCCAAATACGGCAGTGCCTCTGCAGGCATGCCTCTACAGATTTTAAGAACTTTACAATATTACTAGCTGAAAAATTGGTGCCTAATAAATTACTTAAACTGTTAGGTATGTTAAATGTAACACCAAAATTGCAAATCTAGGCATTCAATTAATAAATGGTTAACGGTAAGTTGTACATTATATGTTTCCCAAATAGATGGATCACTTTTGGACAATAAACATGAATGAGTAAGTCTTGTGTGTCCAATTCGTTATCTCGTTATCACCAATTGTTCTCTTCTGTTCCTGGTTGAGGGTTCCCAAGCTGTAACGTGAGTTTTAATTTTCTTCAGCGATGTTTGAGAAGATTGCCATTCGTTTTTCCACTTGCACAAAACTCTATTCTTTATAAAAGCTTTTATATCACTCGCAGTATTTCGATACTCGGCTTTTTCTATATCGGCCCATTTCACTCGCGCACTGGTCCGCACTTTCTTTGCCTGCAATGCCAATGTGGGATGGAATCCATATAAATCTGATACTCCTAGAATTTTCTTGAGCCTGCATGAGTTCTAGTTTTATCAGTTTCTCAAGGGGACCTTTAGGATAGATCTGTTTAGGTGTTTGAAGGGCGTTTAGTGCGTCACTTAAGATAACAGAGTTAGGAATGTTATTAGAATTTATATGCATGATAGCTTTAAGCATTGCATAGAGCTCAGCGGAGAAAATGGAAAAGAAGGTAGGAAGACGAAATTGATGTATCGCTTGGATGTATCGCTTGGAGTAACGAATGCAGCACCTACTCCTTTATCACACTTCTGTGATGCATCTGTAAATATTTTATAGCAATGTTCGTAATGTTGACAAAGAATTAGATCTAGATTATTCTTAATATCTGCGTGACTATTAATATGTTTGTCATATTGGGTTGGACCAGTATTTATATTTAAGGTATTAATTATCCAAGGACAGGGGCTTTTAATATTGATTGGAAAAGTATTTGGGAATTCGATATTAAGACATTTCAGATAACACCGTACTCGCTCATAGCAAGTCTTATGTTTGGTATTATTGGTAAAGAGATTTATTAGTGAACGTATTATTGAAAGAGATTTATTAGTGAACGTATTATTGAAAGAGATTTATTAGTGAACGTATTATTAAATAGAGGTTTGTTTACATTTGAGGCTATTGACGTTGCGTGTGATAGTGTTAAGGAAATTCGGCGGTGATATAATGAAGGCTCTCCACTGTCAGAATATAAACTGTCCACCGATGACGTTCGAAATGCGCAAAGAGAGAGTCTAAGTGCTGTGCTGTGAATAGAGTCTAGCTGTTTTAACAATATGGGGGAAGCAGAGGCGTAAGCGATTGATCCATAATCAATTTTTGATCTAATTAGAGTTCTGTAAATTGTAAGTAAGATAGAGAGATCAGAGCCCCAATACCTATTTGACAGTGTTCTCATTAGGTTAAGTTTCTTATGACAAGTCAAAACTAATTGTCTAATATGTTCTTTCCAAGTAAGTTGATTATCACACCACATACCTAAGCATTTTACATATGATTTGAAGAATAGCGATGTATTAAAGAACTTGAAATTGGGATTATTTGAGAAATTCTTTTTTTCGCGTGTCTTAATTCTATAACATTTTGAAATGGAAGCGCTCATTGAAAATTCCGCCAAATCAAGATTTAACTTAACACGCAAATCCTGGTGTACATTCAATCGCATCAGAACTCACCTGGTTTCCGGGTTGAACCGCGTCGAATGTAAGTACGTAAGTAAGTAGTTTCAGACTGCTGACCTCCAGATCACTTCATTTTTACACTGTTAAATGTTCACTGCACTAATGTTGCTTGGAAGAGAAACTAGTCAAGTTAATTTACTCTAGAGCTTATATACCTTCCTCCCTAGCTCTATATACCTAGCTCTATATACTCTAGCTCTATATACCTCCCAGAGATCCTTGTTTTAGGCTTTGGCCTGTGAAGTGGTCACTGTTTTATCGGAAATAACGGAGAACATGGCAAGGTGGAGGAGAGAATGGTTGTTCGTCAACTCCTAGTGGTGGGCTTCCATTTAGCGGGTCAACGGTCAGTCGATAGAAACACTGGGATTGCGTATCACAAAACATTCATTTCAGAATTGTTTGGGCTTTAGTAAACGTGTGGTTGCTTGAACGCCACTTTGGGATGTAGGTTGTAAATTTATACCATCGATGGTGACGTAGCCCATTGATGTGGAATTTGTGTTGAAGTTGAAGCGAAGATTCTTGACGGCGGGAATGGATTGGTAGACGGAAAGGATGATGTTTTATGTAGGAAATGTCTCCATCGTATAAATATTTGTAATATTACAATTTTTTGAGCTTTTTCTACTCTAATACTAATTTATTTTAATTTTTTAGTTAAATAAAAGGTACCAAGAATGTATAGGACCAGGAGATGTAAAAGGTCATTGTAAGCACATTGCTTATTGCCCGACAAGTATTTTTCAACAGCTGAATACTCTAGATTTTCTATGTGTAATAGAAGAAAGGTATGTAATGAAGCTTTTTTATATATTGCTATTATTAATTTTTTTACTTTGTAGTTTTGTTGGTGTATGTTGTCCAGATGACATCGCCAGTGCTGGAGTTGTTGGATCTCAGTTGATTATAGATTTACCAGCTGGAGGAGATGATTATGACGAAGGTGACAAATACACAGGTAAATGATTATCTAAAATATCCATTTTACCTTATTTTATTCATTTTTAGCCAAAAGCCTTCCCTTGACTCTATCCCAACGACAGCAGTAACTTAGCTGCTTCTTAATGATAATATTTTACACCTGAATAGATCGCGTAAATGCCCACATTATTTGTTTATTTAAATAGTTGCAATATTTGAGAAAAGAAAATTTTAAATAATTTTGAAATTCTCCGTCACTGGTTTCTGACGTTAGATTGGGAATTTTCAAACGGAGTATAATATTATTTTATTTTCCTTTTAAATACATTTCAGGATGTGGACTCGCAGTAGAAGGAAGAACTAAGGTGGCGACTAAAACAACTAGTATTCAAGAGTGGCCATGGATGGCTGCCTTATATCGGTACAAACAGCTGAAGCAGGGTCTGGAAAATCAGTTTTGCGGAGGTGCTTTGATAACAGATACGCACATTTTAACTGCTGCACATTGTACTCAAGGGTAAGATGTATATTTTGTTGACAGATGAGAAAGAGCATATTCAGGAAAAGTAATTATAGATACATTTCACTCTTAGATGTAGCGTGTAAAGTTTAAGATATAATTTTATAGAATCGGTTAAAGCTATTTAGCAAGAACATAATAAATGTATACAAAATTGAAGTTAAAGAACGCAGAGAACACACGGCAAGTTTTTGGGTTAAAACAAATTCAAAGCTTCATTGATGGGCAGAGTTTGGACCTACGTATGCTATTTTATAGATTTTCAAAACGCGTATGATTATATTATATATATATATATATATATATATATATATATATATATATATATATATATATATATATACATATATATATGAACAGAACAAAAATTTACAAGCAAATGAGAGCTAGCTATTTAAATTCGAGAAGACTTCTTGCTGGGGGAAAGAAAGGTTCTTCCTTCCTAAAATCAAGAATACAAAATAAACAAAGTGGTTGGAGAAATAAATCAAACATTTATTATTGTCAACACAAACAGCTACAAAATATAAAATGGTGCAAAATATGTATGATATAATTAGTTACATAAAGACTATATTAATAGCCACAAACGTTAATATAGAAATAAAAAAAAACTTACATGTGTCCTATTTTTGTTTACAAGTGGATATTGCTACATAATTTACAAATGTTATTGGGCTATAACTGTGGCAACTAAAAATTATTTCAAGTAAAGAATTTTCTTTGTAATGAAACTATTCATAAAGAAATTAACCTTCTTTAAAAAACCAACATAAATTAATGTCAAAAAAATAAGGCTAGATGCCAGCTGTCATATGTCAACACAACATTTTAAGACAGAGAATAATTATGACATCTATGGCCACGCCCTAATACATATAATTTTAATTATTACAGATTCTTAAATTTTAAACAAAAGCAATTACTAGAAAAAAATTCTCATTCAAAATTTAATTTAATATTTCATATAGTAAATATTATTAAAGCTTACCTATATTCAAGTTGCAACAAGATTAAAAATAAAGGACATCAAATCGAAGTATATGGTAATGGGAAAACTCTTAAGGCAAATTTGAAAATTAACATAGATGAATAAAAATTTTTTATTTAAAATCCTTTAAAAAAGGTATATAATAAAATCCCAAATGGGCTATATCACAATTACATTATATAACGTTTTCGGAATGAAAATTCCATCATCAGTGTAACGAAGTATACATGCGATGAGCCACTGATCAGTTGTTATCAACAGGCCCTCGAAGATACTTTGTCTCAGGACCATTTAAACTATGTACGTCGCCATGAATCAATCAATCAATATTCTTTATTTCATCTGACTTTTACAAGTATTGAAATGCATTAAAATACAATCTAAAAAACTATAGGTACATGGGTAGTAAAAAAACTATAAGCACATAAAACATAAAATATACACAAAAACATACAAATTGTTAAAAATATGCCTGCAAGTATTCCTCTGACGAATAGAAAGTGTTTGTCAGAGGTAAGTCCTTAACTGTTCTCTTAAATACATAAATATTTGACTCTTTAACATAATTAGGTAATTTATTATACAAACTAACGCATGTTGGGTAAGGACCCTTGCCCACAACAGTCAAGTGACGAGCAGGGGTCACCAAATCATTTCTGTAATGAAAATTGTAGCCACTCATTAAGGAAACATCATTTCTGCAAATAAAATTACATCTATGTGACTTTACATAAACACAACTGAAAATATACAGAGAAATTAAATTTCAAATATTTAATTGTTTAAAAACTGGTCTACAGGAATCCAAGCGCCTTCTAAACGTCATGGTACGAATAATTTTTTTTTTTTTTTGAAGAACAAGCACCTCATTAATTCGCGAGCAATTTCCCCAACAAACTAACAATATTGCAAAATTGACTATACATGAGCAAAATAGTAAAGTTTCAAGATATCTAGGGAGACAAAATTCCTAAGTTGCCTTAGAACATAACAGTGTACAGACAATCTTCCCACTACAGAATCAACGTGAGAACTTCAAGACAAATTAGAATCCAGGTAAACACCTAACAACTTAGTGGAGTGGCTATTTACCACAGACCCATTGTGAAGCTTTACTAATAGACTCATCTGCATAGTAGAAGGTGAAAAGGTTACCATATTGATCTTTGATCCATTTAAGATTAGGGCATTATTTAAACAGTAATGAATCATACTTCTTACAAGACAGTTTGCTTTTTGTACTACATGAAAAAAATTATTGGAATTTAGTGCAACTGTGGTATTGTCCGAAAATTGAGTGACGTAACAGCCTGATTGCTGTTCCAACTTTTCTCCTCGAACGCTTATTGCATCAGAAAAATTATCTAATGGATTCCGAACCAAACATGTTGAGCTATCGTTTATCAGTTGATTTAAATCATTGACGAAAATCAAAAATAAAAGAGGGCCAATGATACTTCCCTGTGGAACTCCGGAGAGGACACTTTCTTCTGAAGAAAATATTACATTCACATTCACATTGACCTTAATTTTTTGAAACCTTTTCGATAAAAAGGTTTGGATCCACTTTAATGCAGTTCCTCTAACACCACTATGATGAAGTTTTTCCAGCAATATTGGATGATTTACAGTTTCAAAAGCTCGTGCTAAGTCAAAAAAACAAACAGATAACTTTATTACCCTTATCAAAGTTCGATAAAATATGATTGCACAGCGCTAGTAGTGCATCTTGCACACTTGTACCTTCACGGACACCAAATTGAGACTTTTCTATAATGTTGTGCCTTTTAATATACGAGAGGAGACGTGTATGAAATGCATTTTCATATATTTTTGAAAACACAGATAAAAGTGATAGGCCTCGATAGTTATCAAATTTTGATTTGTCACCTTTTTTATGTATAGGCACAACTAGAGCAGTATTTAGAATTTGAGGAAAAATCCCTTCTTGAAATGAAATTTTACTAGAAATATTAATTGTTTATATATGCTATGAGATACATGTAATAACATAGAATACGGGATCTCATCCAGTCCAGCAGAGGATTTTTTTGAGATATCTTTAATTATACTCTTTATTTCTTCATCACTAACAGGATAAAGGAAAAGGGAGTGTATAATTAAATTTTTTACGGAATTCGAAAAATGTTGACTGTTACCATGGTTACCAATTCCAACGGTAACTTGAACATCTTAATTTTTGTAATAACATGTAATGTAACAAAAGGTCTTTACCCATATATTTTAGTGGCTCATAGCATGTATATTTCGTTACACTGATGATGGAATTTAAATTCCGAAAACGTTCTGTAATTGTGATATAGCTCGTTTGGGTATTTTATTATATACCTTTTATAAAGGATTTGAAATAAAAATTGTTCATGATATCTGGTATAGAGCCAGCTACAGGAACTTAGTTTTCTAGAAGATGAGTAAAAGTACCGTTCCTAACAATTTGAATATTTGGGGGTAACAATTTCAAATTGCAATAAGGAACATAAAAAATTAATTAAAACATTAGGGAAAGGACGTAAAGAAGCAGAAGCTATAATAAGTGAGAACCTACAATAAAAAAATGTGGAAATACACAGTTCTTTATAATCTCATATTTATAGTCCTCCATCTACGAGATGTTCAGTTTTATTTAGATTTATGTTTTAACTCCCTTTTGTGTATTCCTATTCTAATAGATTCCTTTAGTTTGCAGGCATCGGAGATTCGTGTGAGATTAGGAGAATACGATTTCTTTAGACAGGATGAATCCCGTTCCAAAGATTACGAAGTAGCTGAAATTATCGATCACGAGTACTTCGTTTTGCCAACATATGAAAACGACATATCGATTCTTAGATTAAAAACGGCTACCAGCTTTAATTCGTACATTTGGCCAATTTGTATGCCCCCACGCGATGGTGATTACACTAACGAAACCGTAGTGGTTGCAGGATGGGGACAACAATATTTTGCAGGACCGGTTAGTCCTGTACTTCTACAAGTCGCTATACCTGTATGGCCATTGGACAAATGCATGGACTCTTTCGTTCAGAAAATTACAGACGATAATATTTGTGCAGCTGCTTATGAAGGTGGAAAAGATTCATGTTTGGTAAGTATGAATTAATCAATTATGAACATTAAACTTTTGTCCTCCAGGATGAAATTGTGCTTGATCTTTTAGAGGGTGATTTCTTTTTTGTTCTCTATTCTTTTATTTTCTAATTAATATAGTACGTATTCAAATACGATTTTTTGTTTTCGTTTCTCAATTTATCATGCTCTAATTAGGTATATTTGGTTTCCCATTTTTCCATAATTTTAAATAGGTTGTGCCTATCGAATCAGTCGAACACTTTTTTTTAAGTCTTTAAATGCAATATGCGTTTATAGGTCAAATTCCCTTTTTGTAGACATTCTGGCATTTTTATATGGTCAATGCCATATGAAATTAATCCTCTTCTACACAACTAGCAGCAGCGCCATACTCTAATATTTATTTTAATTTATTTACAGTCTTCTAACACTAATAAAAACATAACATTTATTTACTGAACGATACAAAGGTATTGACTATCCCTAAAATCTAAATTGTTCTTTTTATATAGTGCGCCTATGGTTCCACAGATATATCTATCCCGTTAAGTCTTACTTCGAATCGTTCGACCGGCTTCTAGACTGCAGTTTAATTCCCGCGTCAGGAAATGTGCACTCGAATCGACCATTCGAGTCGAGTATATTCCATCATTGGCGTAGCACGGCTATCGTAACAACAACAGATTCTCATTTTTTTGCATCCACTATTTTACTAATAAACTTTTCCAATGATTGCTAATGTGATTGATTTAAAATCGTTTTTGCTTCCGAGCAAAAGCTTTTTTGTTACGAGTTTCTTTGTTTTCCCCTGTCTTATTTTTGCAAGGTCTTGAGATATTCCGACTTCTTTTCAATCACTACATTCTTTACTTGTTGATTCCATTGTTTCTTTCTTGTTAATTTGGTAATAATTTCCTACTTTTTCTTTTTTGCTTAGGGTCAAGTAGGTTACAATAAATGTTTTCAAATTCCCCATTATCTGGTTTCTTAGCCTTTTGTTCCAGATATTAATGGTATTAAATATTTCTTATTTGTCTTCTTCCCAACGGGTCCCAGTCCAATATTCTTTTCGGCCACCTGTGCTGTAGAATTTTTTTGTATATGCCCGTACTACTGCAGGGCTCTGTTTTCTAACTTTTTTTAATTGAGCATTCTACTACTATTCTGTTCATATTTCTTCTATTCTTATCCTACACTCCCTGGTGATTTGTGGATATAGTACTCATAAAATCCAATTCAACTGTTCTTATTCTATTTCTTATTGTTGTTGTCATTGGCCATACTTTTGCTCTATGTGTGTAATATTCAGCGCTATGCTCTGAAAGATCATTTTTTGTTTTCTTTGGTTAGTTAGTTCAAGTACCTTATCGGCTTATCATTCATCATCATCACGTAGCGCTATATCCCTGGCTGGGTCTTGGCTGACTGTACAACTTTTTTCCAATTTGTTCGGTCTCCCATCAACCTATGGTCAAATGGAATGCTCATTTTCCGGGGATATGCTTGGATGTTATCTCTTCATCACATTCTGTCCCAGTATTCATTCCCCTAGAACCTTATTCTTTGCTTCACTTGTTGTTTGTGAGTACCTATTCTTCTCGTGTTCCTGGGGTTGTGTCGTTTAGCAATTTATGAAACCCATATTTTCCCCTTTAATCATCTCTTATAGGTCGTCACTGTATCTCTCCAAATATTTATTCTTGTGCTGTTTAATACCCAGCACTTAGTATGCCGCTTTGTTTATTTTTTCCTTTAGGTGTTGATTCATTTCTGTTGGGGTCCATTCATCTTTCATCTATATACTATTCTGTAGCCTATTTTGATATAGTGTTTGCATACTAAATTGTTGTAAAATTATTTCGACTTTTTACCTAGTATTTGCGATCTTTTGCATCTCCTTATCTCTTTGTATATTGTCTTTTTGTCGTCTTTCCGTGTATATGAATTTCCCTAGTACTAATCGGTGGTCACTTGCACATTCTACTTGTCTATATACTCTTACATCTTGTATTACTATTTAACAGGCTTTTCTTCTTATTATTAAATAAATAATCCTAATAATGTATATCTATGTATGTTTTTATGCTGAAATCTTGTGTTGGTTCGACTTTCGACTTCCATTGTCCTTTCTAATTTCGTCTTTATTGAATCGTCCTATTATATCTTTTTTATCTTCCCTTCCTATTCTCCTATTCTCTTATCTCCATTATTGGCTTATCTTCAATAAGAAAAATATCTTCTTTTCCTAAATATGTTCATTTGTTTGCTGGTAATCTTTTATGTGTTTTCCCCATTTTTTTTATTTTTATAGTTACTCCTTTTGGCTGCTCTTTAAAGTTTACAGACTCCGCTCCATATGTGTGTATATTTCCCTATAATTTCCTCTCATTGACCCTTCTTTGTTTTACTCGGGACTATTAGATCTGAGTCCTGATATTAATCCCATTGAGAATGTGTGGAAACTCATTAAAAGAAGGATTAGAAAGATAAGAAGATATATTAGAAGAGATAATCCATGTAATGCGGATTAGCTCATTCAAGCCGCTCTAGAAGAATGGGCAAACTTACCTCAAGAACAAGATGACGATTTGATTAGAAGCATTCCTCGTCGGATTGAAGCTTGTATTAGAGCTAGAGGTGGCAACACTGACTATTAGAATAAATAACAAGACTGTATCTTTCTTTAGTCAATCATTGCAATGTTTTCATTTGTTCTTTCATGTGTTTTTTGCGTTTTTGTTAATTTCAAGCATTTGTAACATTTTTTGATTGTTTTTTTTTTGACAGTAATTAAACTGGTTTAGTATAAAATGTAGTTCATTTTCCATTAAAAAAATTTAGTATTACTTTACAATATCGAAAATACTGGGTGATTCCATATAAATTTGGTTGTGTGTATTTTGTGCTCAAATATTCTCAATTGATTTTCATCAGTGGTTGAAAGGGTCCACGTTTCACATCCATATGTAACCACTGGTCTAATTACTGTTTTGTAGATTCTAAGCGTAGACTTACGATTCAATAATTTATTTTTCATTCTTTGTATTCAAGTCTTTGTATGCATAAAAGTACTTATTACAGCCAAGAATCCGTGTTTGTATTTCTTGACTGTTCTCTTTTGTGTATCTACTGCTTCCTATTTCTGCCTAGCTGAACTTTTGCTATTTATTACTTGTTGGCAATGTTAGTCAATCTATTCCTCGTTTATTTTGCTTGAGGTTTTACCTAATGTTTTCCTTGCTGTATTGGCAATTGTCGTTTGGATGACATTCCATTCGTCTTCGATGTTATTTTCTTCTCCTCTTTCATTTAGTATTATTTTTTTTTGCTGGTACTGATTCTTCTTTTTACGATTTTTGATTGTTTTTCATGCAGTGTCACAAGCACTCCATGTATAATTATGAAAATATTTATATTGAACTGTTTTTATAAGTCTAATTTATTTACTTTATTTCCTTTATTCTAATTCACTAAAACACAATAATTTATATTAATTTATTATACCACTTATTCGATACAACAATTTATTTTCGACTAACTGTTTTCCACAAAAAGGTTTCTATTTATATTCTTCTTCTTCTGGTTCCTATCCGTTTCGGATGTTGGAAATCATATTGGCAATCATAACCTTGTTCGCTGCGGCTCGAAACAGCTCCGTTGAGGTTTTCTTAAACCATGTTCTTAAATTCCGCAGCCATGATATTCTCCTTCTACCGGGTCCTCGCTTACCTTTGACTTTACCTTGCAATATAGACTGTAGCAGGGAGTAACGGTGCTGATTTCTCAATGTGTTCCAGATATTGCAATTTTATGCGTTTGATCGTAAACACAATTTCTGGTTCCTTCTTCATTTTTCCTAGAACTTCCTTGTTTGTGATCCTTGCTGTCCATGATATTCTCAGCATTCTTCTATAAAGCCACATCTCAAATGCTTCAAGTTTTTTAATAGTGGTGTCTGTAAGCGTCCATGCCTCCGCCCCGTACAACAACACAGAGAAAACATCTCATATGTCTCATTTTTGTATCAAGGGATATGTTGTGACTTTTGAAGATGGCGCTCATTTTGTTAAAGACCGTTCTTGCCTTTCCTATGCGGCACTTTATTTCCTGTAAGTTGCTCCACTGTTCGTTAATAATAGTTCCCAGGTAACAATACTGTTTTACTCGCTCTATCTGCGTCCCGTTAATGTATAGATGAGCCCCATTTATATTCTCCTTGCTGATAATCATTTGTTTCGTTTTGTGGGTATTAATGTTTAGTCCGTACTGTTGACTGTACTCGTTTATTCTGTCCATTAGCCTCTGAAGTCCCTCTAAACTATCTGCTATCACCATGGTGTCGTCGGCATATCTAACATTGTTTACTCTTTCACCATTTAGAGGGATGCCTTCGTCTATTCCGTAAAGAGTCTCGTTAAAAATTTTCTCTGAGTACATATTAAATATCAACGGCGATAGGATACATCCCTGTCTAACTCCACGTAGTATTTTTATGTGATCTGTTTCTTCTCCGTTAATTTTCATGTATGTGGTCTGATTCCAGTAGAGTTCTGAAATTATTCTGAGGTCTTTGTCATCCAGGTCTGCCTCTTTTAAAATGTTTATCATCTTTTGATGTTGAACTCTGTCAAATGCCTTTTCATAGTCGATCAAGCACGCGTATACGTCGCAGTTAACGTCCCTGCATCTTTGAATCAGTAACTGTACTCCGAAAAGTGCCTCTCTGGTACCCACTGCGTTAATGAAGCCGAACTGTCTGTCCGATATTTGTTCCTCGCACTTCTTATAAATTCTTCCATGGATGACTCTAAGAAACAGTTTCAACATGAGGCTCATTAGGCTGATTGTTTGATATTCTTCGCACTTTTTAGCCCCCTGTTTTTTAGGTATCGCTATGAATTCTGATTCTAGCCATTTATCAGGGATGATTCCTGTATTGTATATTTTATTGAAGACAGCGGTGATCCAAATTATTCCTTCTTCCTCCAAGAGTTTTAAAAATTCAGCTTCGATATTATCAGGCCCTACAGCTTTCCTGCTTTTCATCCGTTTTATTGCTTCTTCTACCTCGGATTTAAGTATGTCCGGGCCCGTCATCCTCTCTGAAAACGGATGCCTATAATCCGTTCTTTGGTCTAGAAAAAAAAGGTGTCTCCAAATATATTCTCCATCTGTTTTTCATCTCTTGGGTGTCAATGATTAATTTTCCATTGGTGTCTATGAGTTTCATTTGTGTTCGCTTTTTAAAAGTACCCGTTATTTCTTTTACCTTTTTGTGTACATTAAAATTGTCGTGCTTGGCTTGTAGTCTTTCTATTTCTTTACATTTCTCTACAGCTTCTTTTTCTTTAGCTTCTCTTATTTTTCTTCTGATGTAAGCCTGCATTTTTTTATACTCATCTTTATTTCCTTTAATTAATCTTCTGCGTTCCATTAAATGAAGGATTTCTGGAGTCATCCAAGATTTCTTCTTTGTTTCTTTGTTTAGTTTTTAGCAGATCTTGTTTAGTTTTCTTAATGATTTCTTCGAATTGATTGATTTCTCGTTTTATATAAAATGCCGTTATTGGAGAGTTTCAGGTAGGTATTACCTAGAATTTCTGCCAGCTGGTGAAATCTAGAACATATCAGAATTAAAAAGAATATTTATGAGACATATTTATCGTAACAATATCTAAATTGCGTGTTCGTGATTTTCAATTTATTCTCGGTAGCGAAGTTTTATTTAGTTGTAATTTGCTGTTCATCATTTGTTCTCACAACTTGCATGTTTTCGATTCTAGCATTTAAGTCACATCCAAAAATTAAACTAACCAATAAGTTTTCAGGGTGATTCTGGAGGCCCTTTAATGTACAAACTGAAAAATGGACGATGGATAACCATTGGAATAGTGTCTTGGGGTATTGGTTGCGGAAATAAAGACAGTCCTGGAATATACACCAAAGTAGGAAACTACTTACCTTGGATCATAAAACATACAATGGCGAAAAGGATTGTAACTTAAATACATTTTTGTTGATATTTGAATCTATTGTATGGTTTTAGATCTCTATAATATTGCACACACAATGTTACAATAAACTTTACTAAGTAAAAATATAATTTTATTGTACAAATTAAAAATAAAGTCAGTAAAAAATAAAAACCGATCGTTTTTGTAACTCTTCTTCTTCTTCTTCTTTCTTCTTGTATGTAGGCTTTAAATCATGTTTCTTCTTCAATATTAGCTTCCTAAATTGTTTAAATTATAGCACCATCTTTTTCTTGGTCTGCCAATACTTCTTCGTCCATTTGGTGACTTATCTCGTGCTATTCGTACTATTCTATTCTCTGCCATTCTACTGATGTGTTCATTCCACTCCTGTTTCAGTTTTATCGCCCATCCATTTATGTGTTCTATATTGCATGCTCTTCTTATGTTTTTGCTTCTCTTCCTATCTAACAGACTTTTTCCTGATATTCGTCGGAGTATTCTCATCTCTGTTTCTAGTAGTCGTTCGTTTTAGATGTATCAGGTCTAGTTGCTGCTTTATAGATTCTTGTTTTTGTGTCTTGTTTTAGGTGTTTGTTCTTCCAGATTGTGTCAGTAAGACATCGCGCCGCTTTACTTGCTTTTAAGTTTTGTTGTTGTATTTCTTCTTCAACATCTCCGTAACTAGTTATAAACTCGGTTTCATCGTTCTTGGCGTGTGCCTGAAATAAGCTACTACGGAATTTTTAATATTCATCTCTCTCTGATACACAGATGCGTAATTCAATTGTGCGAGTTGTCCTGTGGTCTGTGAACTGTGTTTGTCATTTGTCATCTTAGTTTTAGTTAATGTCATATGTAATTGTCATGTTATTCATTCAAACAAAACAATGCTAATTTCTTGTATATTAAAACCTAGTTTATAAAGGTTTTGCATTTCATTACAATTTAATATACAAGAAATATCAAATATGGATAAGCTACTACGACCAGACAGATTCGATGCTGATCCTAACTCTCCTAGATCGTCTCAAGAATGGATGCATTGGAAAGCTACCTTTGAAAACTTTATTTCCTCTGTGATTGATGTTTCAGAGGAGGAGAAATTCAAACTACTGGTAAATTACGTGAGCAACAATATCTATGAACTCATCTCTGATTGTAGAAAGTATTCTGAAGCCAAAAGTATTCTTGAAGCAGCTTTTGTTAAACCCAAAAATGAAATTTTTGCCAGACATATCCTAATGACAAAAAAACAACAAACTGGTGAAAATATAGGTCAATACGTTCAACATCTTAAAGTGCTTTCCAAAGACTGTAATTTTCTAGCCGTTTCTGCAGACCAAAATAGAGAAGATTATATAAGAGACTCTTTTATTAATGGCATTCTTTCTAATGACATAAGACAACGTTTACTAGAAAACAACACTATTACTCTGCAAGATGCCATAGTAAAAGCCCAGTCTCTGGAGTCAGCTTCAAAACACTCTGAGGCTTATACAACTCCTGTACAAATTATTAATGCAATTTCTTCTGAAACCAGAGAGCACACTAATTATACTTCTGCTGCTGTGAAAAGTTGGAAATGTTACTTTTGTGGATCAACTGAAAGGCATCCTCGTAGCCTATGCCCTGCTAGAGACAAAGTTTGTAAGAAATGCTCGAAAGTTGGACATTTTTCCAAGGTATGTAGGCTTCAGATGCCCAATTCAGTATCAGCTGCTGTTTTAGCTACTACTACATCTAGTTCGAATGTTAGAAATCTTGCTGCTGCCCCTCAATGCTTATCTAAAAGTGTTACTGAGATAAAGGTGAATGGAAATACAGCTGAAAGTTTAATAGACACAGGTAGTTCTGAGTCATATATCAGTAAGAATTATGCATTGTCTATAAACGTAAAAACATTTAGAAGTCATGCAAGCATAATAATGGCTTCAACAGCACTCAGAACGACTATCTCAGGACACTGCTTTGTTAATTTAGAAATAAACGAACATTCATATAAAAATGTCAAATTATCAATAATTCAAGATTTATGTGCTGATGTAGTTATAGGTCATGACTTGCTTAAACAACATTCTTCTCTAGAAATCACTTTTGCTGGCTCAAAAATGCCTTTAGTTATTGATCATATAGATAACATTTGTAGTTTGGCATACTTAAATATAGAGCCACCCAAATTATTCTCCAATCTATCAAATGATTGCAAACCGAGGGCAACTAAATCAAGAAAATTTTCAACTGAAGATAGAAAATTCATATCTGACGAGATACAGTATCTGCTATCGAATGGAATCATAGAAGAAAGCAACTCTCCTTGGCGTGCACAAGTACTTATTACAAAAAGTGAAACACACAAAAAGCGAATGGTGGTAGATTATTCACAAACAATTAATAAATTTACTTACTTAGATGCCTATCCTCTCCCAGATGTTGAAGATATTGTTAGAAAAGTAGCAAGATATTCTGTCTTCAGTACTATTGATCTTAAAAATGCATACCATCAAATTCCAATTAAAAATGAAGAGAAAATATACACTGCTTTTGAAGCCAACGGCCAACTATACCAATTTTGCCGGATTCCTTTTGGGGTAACCAACGGAGTGGCTTGTTTTCAAAGGGTTATCGATGGTATTATTAAATCCGAACATTTAAAAGGTGTGTATGCATATCTTGATGACATTACGGTTTGTGGATTAAATCAACAACAACATAATGAAAATCTTAATAAATTTATGGAAGTAGCGAAGAAATACAATCTAACAATAAATCAAAATAAAAGTTCTTATACACTAAATTCAATCAAACTTTTGGGTTATCAAATAGAAAATCAGACCTTAAAACCTGATCCTGAAAGACTTGAACCATTAAAGAAGTTACCCTTACCAAACGATTCACAATCACTAAAGAGAGCTGTCGGAATGTTTGCACATTATTCCAAATTTATCCCACAATTTTCAGAAAAGATACAAAAACTAGTCACATGCAATACTTTTCCTTTAACAGAACAAGCAGCTGAAGCTTTCCAAATTCTTAAATCTGAAATTATTTCTTCAGCTGTTACTACAATTGATGACAAGATTCCTTTTATCGTTGAATCTGATGCTTCAGATTTTTGTATTGCTGCTTCTCTTAGCCAAGGAGGAAGACCTGTTGCTTTCTTTTCAAGAACCTTATCAAAAAGTGAAAGAAATCATTCATCAGTGGAAAAAGAGGCTTATGCAATAGTGGAAGCTCTTAGAAAATGGAGACATTTCTTGATAGGTAAACATTTTCGACTTATAACTGATCAAAAGTCTGTCTCTTTTATGTTCAATATGCGCCACACTAGTAAGATAAAAAATGAGAAGATTATCAGATGGCGCCTTGAATTATCATGCTACAGTTTCGATATTCAGTACCGACCAGGAGTTGAGAATGTAGTGCCAGATACTTTCTCACGAGTGAGCTGTTCAATAAATCCTCGACCAAGTCTATTTGAACTACATCAATCCTTGTGTCATCCAGGAATCACCAGAATGGTCCATTGGATAAAGACACGCAACTTACCATATACTATTGATGAAGTCCGTGAAATGACCAATCGCTGTCCTATCTGTGCAGAAATAAAACCAAAGTTTTTGAAAACTCAAGGGAGATTAATTAAAGCTACTTCGCCTTTTGAAAGATTGTCTCTGGATTTTAAAGGACCGCTTCCATCTAGATCTCATAACAAATATATCCTAACAATTGTTGATGAATATTCTCGATTCCCCTTTGTATATCCATGTCAAGATGTTTCAGCGAAAACTGTTGTGAAGTGTCTTACAAACTTATTCTCTTTATTTGGAATGCCTAGTTATATCCATTCAGACCAAGGGGGGGCATTTATGTCTCAAGAAGTCAAAACATTTCTCCATTCACAAGGAATACCAACAAGCCGAACAACATCTTACAATCCTGAAGGAAATGGCCAGACAGAAAGATATAATGGAATTATATGGAAAACTATTTCTCTTGCATTAAAATCTAAACATTTAAAAACTGAACAGTGGGAAGAAGTAGTTGAGATAGCTCTTCATTCAATTCGTTCTCTTTTGTGTACATCTACAAACAGTACCCCTCATGAGCGAATGTTTCATCATTCCAGAAAAGCTATAAATGGAGCTGCACTTCCTTCATGGTTGATAACCCCCGGAAAAGTATTTATGAAAAAAAATGTGAGGCAGTCCAAATATGAACCCCTCGTTGAAGAAGTACAGCTAATTGAAGCAAATCCAAACTATGCTGTTGTTAGACGTGAAGATGGTAAAGAAACAACAGTAGCCTTAAGACAACTTGCACCACGAGGAGATGCATCTCTGGACTGTGTTAGTGGATCGGAATCTGCGGTTTCTAATGAACAGTTTATCAAAGATCCACCAAGCCCTAGATTGAGTATATGTGAGGAAAATCCAAATATTTCTCCTGTTAACATTCTGGAAGATCAAGGTCATATTGAAAGTGTTTTAGAGGAAGAAAATAAACACAGTCTTATTAGAAGAGGTACCAGGGAAAGAAACACTCCTGCTTACCTTAAAGACTTTGTTCAAAAATAAAGTTGGGGTGAATGTCCTGTGGTCTGTGAACTGTGTTTGTCATTTGTCATCTTAGTTTTAGTTAATGTCATATGTAATTGTCATGTTATTCATTCAAACAAAACAATGCTAATTTCTTGTATATTAAAACCTAGTTTATAAAGGTTTTGCATTTCATTACACGAGTCACGTTTGTCATGGTAAAGTGCAATGAGAAGGGAATGAAGAGACCACTCACGTCTCCCAGTATTGTAGCAATAGCACCGATGCGTTTGGCCGATAGAGTGTCGGTGATAAGTTCGGTCTCTTTACGAACACAGATAGCTGCCACTGGAGGAGGTAAACGAATCGAGCTTAGACAAGGAAAGACAGATGAAACAACTTATTGCAAGTGTTTTTACACGCACACGCCAAGAAAGATGAAAACGTTTATATCTATTGCCAGATATCTAAACCTTACTTGATATGTATTAACCTTTGGAGCTTGTCTTCTGTCTCGGCGATTACTGTGCGTTAATGCATTTTTGTAACTAATAATTGAAACTATTTTGTACAAAATTTTGATTATCCCTCGTAGGATAGATAGTACATGTGCCGTCCTGAAACAAATT